AACCCTAAGTTATGTCAGATTTATTATTTTGGACTTCATGATAGATCAGCTATCATATTAGCCAAAAAAAGAGGATAAAGATAAAATTTTACAGTGTAATTACCTCTTTGAGTAAAAAATTAACTATTCTAGCTGAAATATAAGAAGAAATTACAATTATAGAAGAGAGTTATCAGATAAGGACACAGGTGTGGCGAAGCCATTACCTACTATGTAAAGCATGAACAGGGCAATCCACAAAATTAAACTATTCTTGTAATATCTGTAGACATTATCAAAACTCAATGAGTGCTGATAATCACTAATATCATTTCTGATTCCATTCATCCATTTATTTCCCTATACCTGCTGTTTTTCTTTCTTTCTTTCTTTTATTCCCTTTGCAACATGATACTATGACTTTGTAAAAGCAGTACACTTTCATGACAAAACATGAGAATGTGACAATACCAAGTAGGCTATTGTGTTTTAGTACTGAGGAGGCATCACCTTCTTTAGTTGTATTTTTCAGCCTTGAATTTCAATTGTGGATTGCGGATGTCGTCCTGGCTTTGAATGAGTCGAATCTCCAAGCTGCTTGATTGGGGATTAAAGCCAGCACTTAAATAGTCATTCAATGTCCTCTGTAGGAGTGCCTGCATTACATGTCATGTACGTTTTAAATACAAATATATATTTTGAATAATTGAGACCAAATGCCTACAATCATCATTTTTTGTAACTTCTGGACCACCCATTCTTGTCATCCTATATGTATTCCTAACTTCCCCGAATTTGCATTAGGGGCACACTGTTCTTAGAATAGAATTTAGGATGGCAATTGGTACATACTCTGATTTAACATTGCATAATATATTTATTAAAAAATTATTATTTTTTAATAGGAAATTAAAGATAAAGAAACTTAAAGATATAGTCATACATATAGGATGTTAGAACCGACCTGATCAACTGTACTTATATTATATTGTAATAACTAAATTAGGATGAGTGTCAAAAAGTATGTTGAACTCCTAGAATATAATAAGCCTTTAAGCACTAAAGTCCTCCACAGTTCTAACTAAAGATTAATCTTTGTGTCAGCAATTAGGAATATATGATATCTGATCCAGAAAACTATAAACTAATGCTCTGTTTGGTAAAGGTAGAATGGCTATTACTTGATTAGTGCATGAAAATAATGCAAAATAAGGAAAATGGACAAACATATTCCCACCTTTTTCTTTCCCAAAATGGATCAAAATAATCTAATTCCCACCTTATTTCTAGCTCCTTCAAGTCCTCTTCTTTATTTTACCTTATTTTCATGCATTATCCAAGGAAAAGAACATAGCCTAGAAAATTCAGGCATCATTCAAGGAAGTTACATGACACATAAACTTAGAATCAGAATAACTACCTGCAAGCTTGATACTGCAAGCTCTGCTGCTCTGTCAAGGTTGTTAGGATATTTCTGAACAGCAGAAAGAGCATACATGTAAGAAATAAAACTTTAGAATTTGATTTAAGGCTGCAATAGAGCCAAGAGGCAATACATTACTCCATCCGAGAAGAAGCGCTGCCATTAGATCTCCTGTTCCCTACAGACACAGGGATGTAAGTCAGCAAGATAATATGGAAAGGTATAAAACTTGGTTGATTATACACAACAGGATAGTTGAAGACAACTAGCAAGTCCATTTTCTTTGTGCACCCTATAAAGTGTAACATCACATTTCCTCACAGGATGAGTTAAATGTTAATCTGTTAATAGCAGGGAAAAGCACAAAGGTCATAAAGGAGGTTTCATTTGAAAATAGAAAACAGTATACAAGGAAATCTTTGAGATTTAATTCTACAGAATTCTAATGTTATTCCCACAAGTCCATTGCACCTGTGAAATTACTAGTGACTTCATAACTACATGTATGTAGAACCTCGTCTGCCTCGCACACAAAACTTGAACTAGCATCATTAATAACCAATCAGATTCCCATTAACTGGAATCTTCACAAGGAATCATGTAAAGTTCGCAAATTAAGGGATTAATGGAGAAATACCGTAAAATAAGCAGGAATTTTGGGTATTGCAATCTTGAATTGCTCAGGAGAATTATCCTGTCAAGTAACAATAATGTGTTTAGTCACATAAAACTTCAACATAGAAGAAGCTAAGCTTTGCAGAATTTCAAATAGTTTAGAATTGAAAACAAATTCAAAGATGAATAAAAAGAATGATTAATTTCTAATATACGTTAAGAAACCTAGATGATCACAAGCAACAATTACAATTTAAACTACTGAAATCACATTCTATGATGGGCACTATCCCATCTCTTTACTCTTTTTCTTATCTTTTTTTCTTCTTTTCTGCTTTTCTCTTATGCTCCATTTGGTTCACAGAAAACAATTTCCTGGAAATTTCAGGTAACTTGAACCAAATGGAGCATAAGAGAAACAAAATCCTAAGAGATAGACAAACTATACTTATTTATTTTCAGGAAAATAACTTCATTAGAAATGGGATGTTGTTTTCCAAAGGTTTCCCTTTTTTTTTCATTTGACTGCAAATAATGAAGGAATATTCATGTCCAGACAAAAAGGAAAATGAAAGTATATTCAAGAGTCATTTGAACCACACGGATAATTAATAGAATTGAAGAGATTATGACTTTTGACATAAGTGTTTCATTGCTCAGAGCAAGTTGCAGTAAAAAAGTCATTATGTCATTGTAATCTACTTAGTTACTTAGCATGAGAAGAAAACACTGAAACTCCAATTATGAAAAATAGTACAAGATATATTGTTGAAACAATACGCAAATGTCTTCATTTTCTGTAATTTGGCACAATTTCAGTCATGAAACTCCTTGGTCATCTGACATTAAGGAACGTCATAAAGGTCATTAATATTTTAATCATGTATTGTTATTAATCTTCTAAAAGCAACATTGACAATTCTGATGCCGGCCAAATCTACAAGCCAGGGTACTAACCCCAATAGTTTGTTTGTTTTTTAGGGTTTCCTTTTTGCTTTTTTTTAGAAAAGGCAGTTGCTAACCCCAATAGTTATTGAATCTAATAGATATTAAAAAAATCAGTGCTTGTCAGAAGCATTGCTCTTTTTTCTCAATTGAGCCCAAGTTAATACTTAATGCTGAACTAGTTTCGTTGACCACAAGAATCCTTTTCTTCCATTCACTCTAATATAAAAACCATGTCCTCATGATGATCCAAAAGAGCTAAGTTTAGACCCAGTTCTCAATCTCATAGTTGCATATCACATTACTTTTACAGAGAGGCACATTCTCAATTAGTGTTACCTAGACCTAGTTGCATATCCTTTTCTTAATCACATAGTTGCATATCAGATTACTTTGATATGTATATTGAACATGGCCAAACCATACAATGCCTATTAACTTTTCCTCAATTAGTACTACCTAGACCTCCACACAGGCAAATTCATTTGTCATCCTATCTTTTCTTGTATGACCACAAATCTATGTTAGCACCTTCGCCTTGTCTACAGTTCTCTTGTCCCATAAGTATGCAAACAATGCTGTTTTTTAACCGCTTGACACCCAGTGGCTCAGTGCCATCAAGAAATAAATGGCATATGGTAATATGACTGAATCATAAAAGGAATGTAGTATATGACCATGACAACAGCAACAGATTAGATTTAGAAGAAAGGATGAACTGAAATCAAATGAACAAAAGAGAAAAAATGCAGTTTCACATACCTTATCCTTCTTATGACTACCAATGAGGAGAAGATTGCCTTCTATGTTTATGCTTGTAATGACAACCTGAGAATTATCAAAATTCAGAGAATGGAGTACAGAGTTGAAATGCTCGTGGCTCCAACTAGAAGACCCTAAGAACTACAAAACTTTCAATTCTAATTGTTATCCAAAAAGATGGTTCAATATCAACCATCTAGCAACAATATTTGTATTTAATCAACAGTTGAAACATAATGCACAATAATACTTCTATGAACATCAAATTAAATCCCAAAACCCTTAAGTCCAGCATAAGTTCTGTGTTAGAAAGAAAATCTGCTCAACATCAATTTTTATTTGAAAATTAAATGAAAACAAACCTAACAATTAGAAAGAACTTGATGGTGCTAGCACACTTTAAAAGAAGTTATCAAATTCAACAATAGGAATAAATACCTTATTTTAAAAAAATGAAGAAGAAAAAGAAGAAGAAAGAGAGCAGACAAATAAACCTTTGAAGGCCCAGCAGCATGAAGACTTTTACAGGCTTCCCGGCCATCTGCTTCAGAAGTAATCCTGTAACAATTAAATAGTCTAAGAAAAAGAGGCACCAAACAGATAAGGCATAATGCCTAGAAGTAATAAGATTCTAAAATACCTTAATCCAGACAACAATTCTGCTTCAAACTGGTTAGGAGTCAACATTGAAGCGACTGGGACAACCTATATCCATAGGGAGCATTAACAAAACGAATGACCAAAATAATATCATTAAATTAGATTGCTGACTAATGGATCAAAATAATAAGTAAAAAACAAAGATGGCTGTTGTTCATGCTACTTAGTCCTTTTGATATAATCAACTCATGCATCAAATCCAAAGCACTATTGCCACTGGCTTCAACAATAGTTAAAAACAACTAGTTGCAAATATCTGATAATCTGCATCAGGATATTCAAAATGAGAGACTTGGAATATAGATAATAACAACTAAATAGCTAACGCTCACCTTCTCACGATATATTGATATAAGCTCTTGAGGAACATAAAGCTTTCCATCATCACCCATCACTGGATCACAAACTAGAGAAGAAATTTCATTAGGAACAAGCTTTTGGTTTGTATTGATACTGGATTCAACCTTTTATCTTTACATAGAGCCATCAAGTAAAGATATTACATTCTAATCGTTGAACCACATTTTCTCTTTTTGGAACGTAGCATGAATAAAAGAAAGAACAACAAAATTTGGAATTCTTCTTTGTTAAAAAGAACAACAATTTTTTAGTGTTTAAGTACTTTTTCAAGCCCAAAATGTGAAGTGAAATTGTTGTGGAGGTCTAGGTGGTCAACTCACCATATATAAGATTCGGATTTATGGTGCGAAGTTTATCTACAACTTCCAATACAGTGTTCGAAAAAGAAACAGAACCAATATAACCTGCAAAATTACATTACAAACGAAGCAGTGTCAAAGAAATTTGTTAAAAACCAGAACTTGAAAGGAAATAGCAAGAAGAGAACTTGACCCCTAAACTTTCAACAAGTTGTACAAGCAATGGAGATACTGAATTAGTACACCTGTTAATAAATGAGTGTAGTACAACAAATTATTAGCTTCAAGGCCTTCTATTAAATCCCACAGTTGCTGCCCATTCAAAACTTGACCCTTAAATGTTGGGTATCCTGCAGAACATTCCAATCAGTCAGACAACAATCCCAACTATATTTTTGCAAAGATATTGTGCCTGAACTTACACAGAGTTGTGTACTGAAATGAATAGTAATACAAGCAGCTTGCCTGTGTGGTTTGAGAACTGTACTGAATTGATTGGATCGACATCATAGCCCAGTAACTGGAGAGGAAAGACGGCTGACTTATTGCCAACATATCCCTGAGGAAAAGACCAAAAACACCGATTGAGTGAAGACATCAGCGATACTTCGTCTTTGTCAAACAAACAAAATACCTGAACGGTGTGTGATTGAATGCTGAGAACTCGACCAGTTTCTGAGGGAAGAGCGAGTGCAAGAATTGGTGGCGCCATTCCTGATTTCCTCAAGCTAACAAATGCTCCCGACCTTCAATTCCCGAATTGGAAAAACAGAAAGCAAAATAAAATCTCAAAATTTCAGGAAATACCACATTGTCGAAAAACTTCTGCGGTTTTCCCTGAAAATGGAAGACTTTGCACAGCAAATCAGCGAAAGACGTAGCATGAGAATTCTGAGCTGGTGATTGCGTGTTAGGTATTATGGAAGGAAAGACGGCAAGTAGGAGACTTACAGCCAATCTAATTATGTGTTTAAATATTTTAGGTTAAATGCTAATTTTGTTGCTTCAACTCTTATGTTTTGTATAATTTTTATTATTTATTTTTTATATACTTTTTATCCTTTAATTATGAAAAAAATATATTTTTTCAATTTTTTGTTAGGGTTTTTTAACATTTTTGACGTGGGAAGGGTTTTACATTCTTTTGTTAGTTAATTGGTTAAATTTATATAAATTTGTATGTTTTTAATTTTTTAATCTTTAATATATGTATATTTTTTATTTTTTAACTTAAATATACTTAAAGTTGAGAAGTTAAAAATATATATTTAAATAAATTTAATATATTAACTAAATAAAATGATAAAAAATATATATTCATCATAATTAAGAAACTAAAAAAACTTATAAAAAATTTTAAAAAATTATATAAAACTTTAAGGTTGAGAATAGAATATTTAACTAATATTTTAATTTGATAAGGAGATTAGGCGAAAATTTCCTACCCGACATCTTTAATTTAAAGACACACAGTTACCTAACAACTTCTTGTTTCGCCGTCGACGTGCTATTTCAAGTATAGGGCACTCGGTTTCGTTAATTAAAATTTTGAATTTGTGCGTTGTGGATGGAAAATGGAAAAATTAAGTGTTGGAGATTTAGTTGGATTTTAAATTAATTGAAATTTAATATAATTTTTAGATATATAAAATTAATAAAAAAAAGTAATGTTTTATTTTTAATAAATTTAATTTGATTTTTAAAATATAAATTTAAATAAAATGTAATAAATTATATAAACAATAATAATAAATTTTTTTAATCAAATAAAAATACAAAACACACATGCTATAAGCAATGGTTAGGTGAGAATCGTCAGTTAACGGTGAGGGTAGTTACGTAAAATCGGGCATGCAGAGGAGTCTCTTATCGGACTCAGAAGGGCAAAATTGTTGAAACAAAGACAAAGAAGTTAACCGATGAGTACTAACAATTTATTAAATTAAGTAAAAAAAATTAATTTCTTTTAAATAAAAGTTTAAATTTCTTACAAAATAAAATCACTCAACAAGAAAAACAAGAGAGTTTTCCTTACAGCAACAGCGTATGAAAGAATTTCACTTTTTAAAAAAAAAAAAAAAAATTGAATTAAAATTAATGTTACCTACAGAGGGTTAGTTGAAAGGACAAAGAAATTAATTAAAGAAAAAGAATTAGAATTTTAGATGAAAGTCAAACAAGAAGAAACAGAACTTTACCAGGTTCGACAAATATGGAATGGGCGAATTGGTATTACAGCAGGTGAGACTTTATTCCGCGACAGTCCATTGATTGAATTCACGCTACCCTTCTTTAGTGCACGAATCTCACCTTTGAGAATAAAGTCGGGTAATCTGCCG